CCCCCCCCACCTCCCCCCCCCCCCCCACCCCCCCCCCCCCCCCCCCCCGGGCGCCGCCCCCTTTCACAAAAAAAACGAGGGGGGGGGGGGGGGGGGGCAGGTACCAGAGATCCGAATTGGCTCTTCCGGCAGGGCCCTCCCAACCCCGCACTTCCAATCACTTCCAGCGTACCTTCCTTGCGCTTTCCCTCTCCCTCCAATCGGAAGCCGCCCTCTCTCTGGCGTCTGAAGGAGGCCTGACCCCTCCCCGCGAGAGTCAGCTGTTCCTCAGCCCCCCCCCCCCCCCCCCCCCCCCGCGCGCGCCCCCCCCCCCCCCCCGCCCCTCCCGGGGGGGGGTTTCTCCCCCCCCCCCCCCGACTTCTGTTTTGTGTGAACACGGCGTCTGGCCCGGCGGGGATCTGCGGAAGTTGACGCCGGGCAGAGCTAGGTTGGTGCGCGCGACGGCTGGCGCGGAGAGCGCTTGAAGGAGAACGTGCGAGATGGGGCGAACCAGATTGGGAATGTGGTCGCAGACGAACGTGGTTGCTCTGCTTAAAATTGGTTCGCCCGAAATGAGTCACAACGGATTAGATTCCTGCATTGTGCCTAAGCATCATGATTGTAAACAACCCGCTAGCCGGAATAATGTAACATACAAGCCCACAAGCAAGCAAACTTCTGGTTGGCTTTGATGGTGCGTAAGCTTAGCCTTCCTTCCTTCCCTGATTTAGATGTATGGTTGTAGCCTATGGTTGCACTATGTGCTTAATGGAGTTGGAAAGCATTGAAAAGAGATACTTCACAAAATATTTTAGCATCACTGAAGCTTAATGCCTATGGAGATTCTCAGTCATCCAGGTCATGGTTTTCCCAAAGGTACTTTTTCAAGAGACAACTGGACTAGTCTCTTGAAAAAGCACCTTTGGGACATCAGTGACTCTTAAAACATTAAAACAGGCAATTCCTGGCTGATTGTTGAGTCACCCAGACAAAACCTCCTTTGGAATCTCTAATGAAACATCTTTAGAAGGAACTTTGTGAATTTCCAAAGCATGAAACTGCTTTAGTATTTTGAACACTGTTTTTCTTTGCTTCTGCTGACTTGCTTTGCATGGATCAATTACTGACCTATGGCTAATTATGGTATATTCATATCGATTTCTGAGTTTTGGCACATCAAAAATTGTATGGCCTGGATTCACACAGTCAAGTTAGCTAGTTTGACTTCAATGTGTTGTTTGAATCCATAACAACTTTTTTTTGGGGGGGGGGACAATTGCCCACCAGACAACTACTCCTTTCCATTAATCTTTCCTAACAGAGCCAAAACTGAGTATGTAGATGAAGCTAACAGTTTTCCTTTATGTCTCACAATGTTTTGCTCTAGTACTGTATCCCCACCTTAGGAAAATTCAGCAGGGCCATTCCATTTGGAGCAGTGTTGGAAAAAACCAATAAATATCAATCTCTGTTACAAAATAACAGGAGCTGCCTTCACTGGTCAGAGAATCTGAGACCATGTATCATCAAAGTGAGCTACAGCATGACCAGCTGAAGGCATGGTTGGAATTCAGAACAAGTGCCAATTTAAAATTGTAGTCATGATGCAGCTGTACAAGATGGGGAGAGAAATCCTGCAATGTTTCCAAAAGTGGACCTGTATATTATGGTGGCAGAGAGAAGACATAGCCTTCACTTCACTAGTGTTTTCTGGGAAGTTTTTGAATTTGGCTCTGCCCCCTTCTCCACCATTAGATCAGTGACGTGCAGTCAGGGGAGGAAGGGGAGGCAGAGCCTCACCACTGTCATCATGAAAAGAAAAAAAATGTAAAAGGAAAAAGGCT